TGGCACTGGGGGTTTTATTTAATAGTTTGATTCTGGGAATGTCCTTTTTCACCCATGTAGGAGCAAACTGGCTTTTTTACAGGCCTTATTGTGCTGTTGAAGGAGTTCACGTTGTTTTACCCTTTCGAATTCTATAATGAGTTTTGTAACTTTACTATAGCTCCTGGGCAACCCTCCCTGGGTGTTTGACCTCTGATACCTTATACAAGAATGGGCAAGTTTCCATGTTGCTGTCTTGCCTGACTACTTGTAACTGGCTTCACTGTTTGCACTCTTAGGCAATACTCCCCCAAAGTGGTATACCCACCAATGTATCCACCCCCAGAATGTTTTCTTGCAATAGAGAAAAATACATGCTGAATAGTCTTGGGAGGAATAACTCCCCACCCAAGAACCAGCTTAGTCCCTTTTATCTGTATTGTCTTATTGCCATATCCATACACTGTTGCCTACTGTCTCATACTTTTTAGGTTTGTCATGAATTAAGGTAAACTGAACTTTACTATTTTCCAAAGCCCCAAAGTAATTTGAATATTCATGGGGACCAGTAGATCTCTACATTGGCCCTCACTTGTAGATTACCTTGGCCTCTCCATCAAAGGAGTGACGATGGTGGCTACCACTCTGGGACACCTTCTTTTTCATAAGAGGTGCTGTGGGGATCATCTGTACCTTCCTATCTTTCTTTAACCCTTTGGTGAACTGCCATTCAGGCCTTAAAGCTTCATATGCTGTGCCCATTTAATACAGTTCCTCATGTTGTGGTAACCCCCAACCATAAAATTATTTTTGTTTCTACTTCATAAGTATAATTTTGCTACTATTGTGAATTGTAATGTAAATATCTGTGTTTTCTGATGGTCTTAGGCGATCCCTGTGAAAGAGACCCTTTGGGGGTCTTGATCCATAGATTGAGAACTACTGCATTAAGTTTCAAAGACTCAGCCGGGTGGTGGTGGTGTATGCCTTTAATCCTCACACTTTGGAGGCAGAGGCAGGTGGATCTCTGTAATTTCAAGATCAGCCTGGTCTACAAGAGCTAGTGCCAGGACAGGCTCCAAAGCCTCAGAGACACCCTGTCTGGAAAAACCAAAAAAAAAAAAAAAAAAAAAAAAAAAAGTTTCAAAGACTCACAACTATAGAAAGTTGACTTGTTATCAGTATTTCCCCTAGGAACTCTGGTTTGACACATTTGTCTTTGGGTGATTCAGATAGGACCTTGCCTGTTTACTCTTCTCCCCTCTTCCCATATGATGATCTATCTAGCTCACCAGGTGTCAGAGCCTCTCCTTCACAAAGATTCCATCCCACCATGGGGCTCAGCTAAGCCACTGAGTTCTATTAAATAAATATAGTTCTGTCTAGTCCAGTGAGTTGAGGTCCATACATAGCTCCTCTCATTCCTAGTTTCCTCAATAGTGCCTGTCTGTTATTTTTTTTTTTAATTCCTGGACATTTATAGGGACTTTAGATAGAGATAAAAAAATGTTCCCAACTGCTCTAATAAGCCAGGCTATTAAGGGCTGATTTCCCTCACACAGTCTTAAGTTACACAGCCTTTGCCTTATGAAAGTTATAGTTAGAGAAGAGTTATAGTCCCCAGTTTTTCTGCCTCCACAGCAGTCAGACTGATCCGGTTCACTCTCATGTCTCACAGCCTCACAATTCAGGTGGTGACATGCACTTTCATTGCTTTTTAAAGACTTTCCCCCAGTTCCAGCAGCTCAGGTGCTGAATATTCCCGATTACCTTGGTTTCTTGCAATGGACCATTATTAATGCCTCTATCTTCACGCTGCACTATAGATTTTCCCTTTTATTCTATTAGAGATTGGACCTGAGGGGTATCTTCTATTGCTTTTATCATCTTTTCCTCACTCTTGGAGTCTTCCGGTGGGCTCCAGGTTGATGGAGCCCAAGAAGGGCTTTTGAGCACAGATCTAACTGTACTCTCTTTTCCCTCTGGCTCCCAAACCTTAAGTGGCAAGTCAACACCTCTATTGCATCCTCTTGTTTATTTTACTTGCCAAATCAGAGACTAACATGGAGGATGCTAGCTGCCATCCCCCTTTCTTGTTGCAATTGCTTCTTTACAGAAACAAGTTCCTGATTGGGCACCACCTGGCAATCTTGACCCTTGTGCTTGTGTGCTCCTCAGAGACTGCAAAATTTCCTCTAAACCTTTAATTGTGTTAGAGCATTTCCATGTCCCTTGTCAGTCAGGTTTGCTGTCCCATACTGCATAGACAAAGATTACAGTCCTAGTGTTTCTCCTACAGACACTCTTAATCCTGATGGCTCAGCCATAACTGCATGTCTCACTACCTATTGCAAGAACCATGTAACTGCTGTCATAGCACAAAGGCACAGTAACATACACATGCAGGAAAGCATAACTCTATAGAATTTCCTCCATATATGCTCACCTATCCAGGTTTGCCAACCTTAGTTATATTCCTTGGTATCCACAGACAGGGTCATGTACTCAACTCTTGTCCATCTCATCTTTGGTTTTGTTATGTCCCTGTTCAGGTCCATTTCTTTGCAGCTTGGCTTCTTTTTGTCTGAGAGGGACTTCCCTTCATGGTGGATCGTGATTGGGACATGTAAACTGAAACAAATACTTTCCTCCCAAAGTTATTTTTGCTTATGATATTTTATAACAGTAATAGGAATCCTAACTATGATACTGAGCCTTGGAAAGTCATCAGAATTTTCATTCAAGTATTTCTAGCAGTTTATTGCTTCCAGCAGTATCTGTAAGCTGAACTCAATTATATTTTTCTGTATATGCTTGTTTCTCTAGATTTAGGATGCCAGTTTTTTTTTTTTTTTTTTTTCTGAGACTTTAGTTGTCTGTTAGGATTAAGAATGGTAATCCCCTGCCTTCCCTTCCCTCCTCTTTCCTTCCCTCCCCTCCCTTCCCCTTCCTTCCTTTTCCTTCCCTTCACCTCCCCTCCCTTCCCTCCCTTCCTTCCAACAGGGTCTTTCTTTGTAGCCTTGGCTGATTTGGAACTCACTATATAGACCAAGCTGGCCTCAAAATTATAGAGATCTGTCTCCCAAGTGTTGCGATTAAAGGCACTCACCACCATGGCTGTGTGTGTGTGTGTGTGTGTGTGTGTGTGTGTGTGTGTGTTTGTTTATTTATTTATTTGAGACAGGGTTTCTCTGTATTGCTTTGGAGCCTGTCCTGGAATTAGCTCTGTAGACCAGGCTGGCCTAGAACTCACAGAGATCTGACTGCCTCTGCCTCCCAAGTGCTGGTTTTACAGTTCTGTAATATACTTGAAGAGATTTTATTTTATTTTTCAGTAGGTTCCAGAAAGAAGGTGCATTTTGGTAGCATACATGATGCAGTGAGGGCTGGAGATGTCAAGCAGCTTTCAGACATAGTGGAACATGGAGCCAATCTCAATGAAGTTGATGTTCTCCATCAGTTCAGCCCTTTACATTGGGCAGCACATTCTGGAAGTTTGGAGGTAAGAGTCTACATCTACTGTTAAACTAAAATGAATTGACAATGATAGTTTTATAAATTTAGTACAGGGTAAGACTTCATGCCTGACACTCAAAATAATCTTCTTTTCAGTTCAATCTATTATTTGTGTGCTTTTTAGTAAGGCTTCCTAACAAAATATCCCAAAATGTAGTGTTGTAAAGTAACCGTTTTTTTTGTTTTCTTTTTTTGAGACAGGGTTTCTCTGTATTGTTTTGGTGCCTGTCCTGGAACTATTGCTGTAGACCAGGCTGCCCTCTAACTCACAGAGATCCACTTGCCTCTGCCTCCCCAGTGCTGGGATTAAAGGTGTGTGCCACCAACACCTGGCAAAGTAGCCATTTTTAATGCTCATGAGTGACTAAAGAAGTTGAATTGTCTTTGCTCTATAATGACTGGGGTTTTAGTTAAAGACTTGAAGACTACAGCTGGGGATATAGCTCAATACAGAGCACCTGCCCTGTGTACCTGAGGCCCTATACTCAGTCTTAAATATTGAACTAGTGTGCTGAAGCTGGACTCTCCTGAAGCCTCATTCACTCAGATTAATGGTTAGTACTGGAAGAGACTGAGTACTTTATTTCCAAGTAGATGTTTTGCAGACTTCTCTCTCTGGGGCTAGTTTGTGCTTCTTTACAATATGGTGACTAGGTTCTAAAGACTAGCAGAGAGGCAAACTTGTAGAGCATGATAGTGAACTCATGTTCATATTTTGCATAAAATTTAAAGTCCCAAAGTGTGCATTTTTTTCTTTTGTTCTTTTTCTCTTTACTCTTTCGGTTTTTGGGGGCCCACCACCTAGCTCTGAAGTAAATCACACACAGAGTCTTATTATTACTTATAAATGCCTGGCCTTAGCTTGGCTTGTTTGCCAGCTTTTCTTAACATAAATGAACCCATCTATCTTTGCCTCTGGGCTTTTTCCTTTTCTATTCCTGTATACCTTTCTTTCCTTCTTACTGAGTATCTTGCTGTGCAGCTGGGTGGCTGGCCCCTGATGTTTTCCTCTCCTTTTTCTCTTGCTGCTCCTCCTCCCTTGTTTCTCCTTCTATTTATACTCTTCTGCCTGGCAGCCCTTGCTATCCTAGTTTCTGCCTTTGTATTGGCCATTTAGCTTTTTATTAGGACCACTGGGTGTTTTAGATAGGTAGGTGTTTAATTTTGATTAGGCATGTTAGGGTAGCCAAAGAGTCCTTTGATTGCTGGACTTTAATACTCTGATAGCTGGATCTTGGTAGTCAGCCTCAGGAGGAAGAAGTGTTCAGTCAACTAAGGGAATAGACCTTGGAGGCTAGCTTTAGGAATGTAATCTAATATTTTTTATTTTTTTTTATTTTTATTTATTTATTTTTTTTAGCAAGGCAGAGGGAATTGGGGGAGAAGGACAAGGCCTGCCAGAGTCATGTTTCATGCTAGGGCTGGCTAGTGTCCCTTCAATACCCATTCAACATCATCAATTACTTTCATTTAATCTTTAAAGTGTTTCTTTTTTTTTTTTTCAGACTCCTTAGAGACTATCAAAAATTGCCAATGTGGACTACATTTCATGTCATTATGGCAGGGTATTGGGAAAAGTTTTCAATTAGCAATGATCTTGCCTCTGATAAACCTCATTTGCTATGATTTTGCCATTACAAAAAACATCTTTAAAGTTTTTAAAAAATATTTTATTTACTTATGTTTTAGACAGGGTCTCACTGTGTAGCCCTGGCTTTCCTGGAACTTCCTATGAAGACCAAGTTGGCCTCAGACTCATAGATATCTATCTGCCTCTGCTTTCTGAGTCCTGGGATTTAAGGATTAGAGTTGTGACTTCAGACTATTTCTGATAATTGCTTTCCCAGTTTGTTGGTCACGGAGGTTGGAATTTTTCTCTACAATATGCCTGAGCCTAGTGTTCACCTTGTTCACCTCCAAATAAAATGTCCTTCTGGTAGAAAAATGGAACTATATAACCAAGTAGATCTGTACTATGAAGCTAGGGATGGGGAAAGCTATAGGCCCTGGCTAAAACCAGAAGCCCTTTCCTTTCTGAGATTTTTTTTCCCTCAAAATATGTTTTTATATATGTGTATGTATGCATGTGTGTGATAATGTACACATATGTGCAATGTGCCTGAGGAGACTAGCAGAAGATGTCAGATCTGGAGCTGGAGTTCCAGGTAGTTGTGAGCTACCTGGCATGGGTACTGGGAACTGAACTCAGGTCCTTTGAAAGAGCAGCCACTGTTCTTAACTGCTGAGCCATCTCACTAGCAACTTCTGTAAAATGTTTTGGTTTACTTTTTTGTTTTTTAGGTAGGTTTATCATAGCCCAGGCTAACCTGTGTACTAGTAGCCCTTGAACCTGCAATTTTCTTGCCTCTCCCTGCTAAGTGCTGGGATTATAGGTGTGCCCCATGCCTGTTGTGTAAAGTATTGGGGGTCAGTATGCTAAGCAACTCTGCCAACTGAGCTACATCCCCAGCCTAAGATTCAGTAATTTTTAAAAATATATGCTTTATATTTTGTTACATGCCTTTTGTCAATTTCCAGACTTAAAAAGGTCAATTTTGACAACATTGTTAATTTGTCATTTATTCTGTGAAGGTCTCAGCCACTGTTTCCTTCAAAGATTTCTGAAGCCCTGTTCATTTTCCAACTTTTTTTTTAAAAAAAAACATGGTTGATCTCAGTATGCCTGTTCACTATACCCTCAAACTACCGAGCTTAAGGAACCCCTTTACCTCAAGCTTTTGATTAGCTAGGGCCTTAGGTATATGCTATGTACTGACTTTTAAATTTAAAAAAAAACATTTAAAAATATTTTACATGTGTGGGAATTTTGCTTGCTGTATGTTTATGCATCATGTATGTGCCTAGTGCCTTCAGAGGTCAGAAAAGGGTGTCAGATCTTCTGGAACTAGAGTTCCAGACAGTTGTAAGCTACCATGTGGGTGCTGGGATTCTAATACCAGGTCCTCTGGAAGAGCAGACAGTGCTCTTAACTAATTGATTTTTTTTTTTTTTGACAAAGGTTCAAATGTAATTTAATGGAGAATAAATCACATCTTTTAGTCTATTTTTCTTCTAATTCTTATGATTTTTTTTTTTAGATTTATTTTAAGTGTGGGTATTTTGTCTATATATATGTCTGTACACCATGTGTATTCCTGGTGCCCCAAGAGGTTAGAAGAGAGCATTAGATTCTTAACAATTGGAACTGTGGATGGCTGGGCACCATCAGGTGGGTGTTGGGAATTGAATTTGTGTCTTCTGCAAGACCAACCAGTACTCTTAATCAATGGGCCTTCTCGCCAGTCTCAAATAACATTTTTATTAGTTGTCCTAATTGGTGATTCATGTGAAATGAATGTGAACCTTGACCCATGCGAGGCTCCATGTAGAATTTATCCAAAATAAGCCAGGCAGTGGTGTTACACACCTTTAATCCCAGCACTGGAGAGTCACAGTTAGGCTGATCTGATTGATCTCTGTGAGTTTGAGGCCAGCCTGGTCTACAAGAGTGAGTTCCAGGACAGCCAGGATTACACACAAAGAAACCCTGTCTACAAACAAACAAACCCAAACAAAAACAAATAACAAAGAAACCAAATTTTTCCAAAATAGATAATAACTAAATATAAAACTTGAAAGATTTATATAAACACAGAAAAGAAACTTTGCAAATCATATACTTGACTATAAGTTACATTCAGTTTAAATAAGGAATACTTAGAAGTGAACAGTAAGAAAATAAATGTGTAAATGGGCAAATGTTAATAGACATTTTCTCAGAGAGAATTGATGGTAATTGAGCCTTGTGAGAGATTCAACATCATTAGCCATTAGAGAAATGCAACTTAAAATTACAGTGAGAAGCTACATACGCATAATAAGGTGAAAGAGAAAGTAAAAAGTCCCCAAATGACAATCCTTGGCTAAGAATGTAGAGAACCAGAAACACTTATGCATCCCTGGTAAGAAGGTAAAATAGACATTCCAGCAGACATTTGGGTACTTTATTGTAATATAAAACGTACATTATCCCTATGTAACAGCAGTTTCATTACATATTTTTTTCAAGAGAAATGCTAAAGCAACATTAGTGTTTATAGTGGCTTTAATTTCAAGGAGCTAAACAGTGTTAACACATAGTAGTTTCTTCACAAGTATTTGTCGACTTGAATGACTTGTGATGATTATTCAGATTGAACTCCTTAAAAATACGTGGGCTAGCAAGAGGGCTCAGCAAGTAAAGGTGCCTGTTGCCAAACTTGACAACCTCAGTTCCAGGAACTGTACAGTGTAAGGAAAGAACTAGCTCTAACAAATTGTCCTTTGACTTCCATATATAGGCACATGAGAATCATGCAGACAAAATAATGAATAAATATAATTTAAAAAACTACAAAAAAGAGAGTAGTGTCCAAAACTTCCAAGCTTGTTTAAATAAACATTTAAAAAATGACAAAAATTTTATTTTATTGGTAATTAATTTTAGTGGCAGACAAATGATACCTAAATGATAAATAAGCCTTTTAGCAAATTACAGGTTATGAGTGATGTGCAAATGAGTGAAAGATAGTCAGTTCTTTTAAAAAGATGCTTTTCAGAAGTAGAACATGCAGAGTTAAGTATTTAAACATTAGACACCAGATGCAGCACAGACCTCCAGGTGTGGTAGTAAGGTAAGATTTAGGTTAGCTTAAAAACTCACAGGTTTTATTTCACTGTTTGCTCTTCCTTTCTAAAAATCCCATTGCAGCAACCATGTTTGTTTTGATACGGAAGTTTCTGAATCCAATTAAAGGTTTGTAGTAGAAGTTAGGCATAGTGTTAAATGCTAGCTATGTACTCCCAGCTACTCAGAAGAATAATGCAGGGAGTCATTTGAATCTAGGAGTTCAAGGCCATTTTGGACAACACTGCAAGTTCACAACTCTAAAGAAAAAGTTTCATTTTAATTAGGTGTATGAATGTGCACCTGTGTGTGAGTGCAAGTGCATGTGAATGTAGGTGCTGACTGAGGCCAGAAGAGGATGTTCTCCTGGAGATGAAGTTAGAGGTGGTTGTAAGCTACCTGACATTGGTGATAGGAACTGAACTCCTGTCTGCATAGCAAGTATTCTTGACTGCTGAGCCATCTTTCTAGCTCTAGAAAAGAAAAGCAGAAAAAGATAATAGTAATTGCAAATTGGCAGCTCTTGAGGAAACTTGCTCATGATTGCTTTTGTTTGGCTTGTACAATATTAGCAAGTGGTATATTTATTGAACTAGCATTTATTTCACTCACAGCAAGAAATGCCTATAATTTAGTATCAAGTGTCCCTGATAGACAAGGAATGTGGCTTCCAGTTTGCTATAGTTTCTGTTTCTTTTTCTTAACTGACAGTGAAGTCAATGTTTGTTGCTATGCCACTGTGTTTGTGCCTTTTTCTTACACTCATCTATGTTTGTTTTTCATGTTACAGTAGCAATCTCATGATAACAGACTAAATTTAAAAGTTATAAAAATACAAAATGTGTCTAATATAACACCCGCTAATGTTATTATTCTCTTAGTGTCTTCACTGGCTACTCTGGCACGGTGCTGATACCACACAGGGCACTACAAGAGGATGGACAGCGGCTCATATAGCTGCAATCCGGGGTCAAGATGCCTGTATGCAGGTAATGCTTTTAGTTACTGTTATTTTCTTTTCAATTTAGTGAGGTCAGTTACTTTATCATAGCTCTGTTGGAATTCTGCCATTATTCTATTTGATCTAACACATGCTGTAAAGAAGGAATGATTGATACCAGCTAGCCACATAAATGATATGTGGCTGAAGATGCTTTAGTACCTGAAGGAGTTGGGTTTTCTTCAGTGATGTCATGGTCGTACAGAGTGTCTTCTTTGTAGCTTGCTGCTATGGTACAGATGTTAGTATTGTGCCAATGTAAGTCTGTTCAAATCTTAGCTCTTAAAGTGATGGCTGTTAGCTTGAGCAGGTAGGTAATAAGAGGAAAGTGAAAATACAATAGTAACTTCTGGGGAAATCAGGTCAGGTGAAGCTTTACCCGATGTGTTTCTTCCAACAAGCATTAGCTCAAGCCATTCCTTGCACCTTGATTCTCTTTTCTGTGCCACAGTGGTCTCTTCCTTCTTAGAGTTTTTATGATATGTATTTTGGTTCTATGCTGTATGTTCTTCATTGAAGTCTTTTTTTGTGCAGTTGAGTATCTATCCCTAAGAATGTCCTGATTCCCTAAGTTGATAATTTTTATCATTGGTGTTGTCATGATCCTTAAAACACAGTAAGTACTCAGTATGTCATTTATGACTGTCATTGGCTGGTTAGATTAGACAAGGTCATGAAGATTATTCTTTTTAAAGCCCATGGTAGGAATTATGACAGAGTAATCCTTTGATAATGTACTGGTAAATAAAGACTGACTAAAAAGGAAATGCTGAGTGAGAAAGAAATAATTAGGAAATATGAAGTAGGAGGGAGTTGGGGTGTGTAGCTGCATGCTACCATGAAGGGGTAGCATGGTCAAGGTTCTAGGTGCAATCCTCAGTGCCAAAAAAAGAAAAAGGTACTATTTTTTTAACTTTAAAAAAAGTCATTTTGTTTTATGTGCATTGGTGTTTTGCCATCAGTGTCAGATTCCCTGGAAC